TCTTTGCTCTAAAAAAGACCCTTTTAAGAAAATGAAAAGCTAAGCCATAGACTGGGTAAAAGTATTTGCATCCCCATATCTGAAAAAGGACTAATATCAAGAATATATAATTTTACATTGTCAATGGTAAAAAAAAAAAAAATTCGAAAATAAGCAAAAGATATTAAGACATTTCACCAAAGAGAGTATACAGGTGAGAAATAAATACATGAAAAGACACTCATCATCATTAGCCATTATGAAAATGCAAATTAAAATCACAAGATATCACTACACACCTATCAGAATGGCTAAAACAAAAAATAATGACAACTCCAGAATGGGAGACGATATTTACAAATGACATGTCCGATAAAGGGTTAGTACCCAAAAATACAAAGAACTGATACAACCTAACACCAAAAAAAAAGAAGTAATCGAACATCTCTCATCATCAGGGAAATGCAAATTAAAACCACAATGAGAAATCACCTCACATTTGTCAGATTGGCTAAAATCAACAACACAAGAACAAGAAACAGCACGTGTTGGCAAGGATGCAGAGAAAAAGGAACCCTCTTGCACTGTTGGTGGGAATGCAGACTGGGGCAGCCACTGTGGAAAAACAGTATGGAGGTTCCTCAGAAAGTTAAAAATAGAACAACCATATGATCCAGTAGTTCCACTACTGGGTATTTACCCAAAGAACATAAAAACACTAATTCGAAAAGACATAGGCACCCCTATGTTTACTGCAGCATTATTTACAATAGCCAAGAGATAGAAGCAGCCCAAGTATTGATCCATAGTTGAATGGATAAAGAACATGTGATTATATATACGTAAATATATATATATAAATATAATATGTAATATGTAATTGAACACACACACAATGGAATATTACTCAGCCTTAAAAAATGAAATCTTGCTATTTGCAACAACATGGATAGATCTAGAGAGTATAATGCTAAGCAAAACAAATCAGAGAAAGACAAATGCCATATAATTTCACTCATATGTGGAATTTAAGAAACAAAACAAATGAGCAAAGGGAAAAAAGAGACCAACCAAGAAAGAGATCCTTAACTATACAGAACACGCTGATGGTCACCAGAGGAGACAAGAGTGGGGGGCGGGGAATAAGTGATGGGGGTTAAGAGTACACTTGTCCTGTATAAGTTTCCTCTTGCTGCTATAATAAGTTACCCCCAGCTTAGTGGCTTTCAAGACTTTATCTTACAGTTTCAGAGCTCAGAAGTCTGAAATGGGTCTCACTTAGCTAAAGTCAAGATTTGGGCAGAGCTGTATTTATTCTGCAGGCTCCAGCGAAGAATCCACTCACTTGCCTTGCCCAGGTTCTCCCTTCCTTGACCCATGGATCCTTTCTCCATCTTTAAAGCCAGCAGCAAAGCATCTTCCAATCCATCTCTGACTCTGACCCTCCTGCCTGCCTCCAACCCCAATAATCCAGGATAAGCTCCCATCCCCATTTTAAACTCCTAACTTAGTCACATCTGCAAAATCCCTTCTGCCACATGAGGTCACATCTTCACAGGTTCTAGGGATTGGGACGTGAACATATTTGGAGGGGTCATTACTCTGCCTACCATGCATATCGTGGAATACTTCTTAGCAATGAAAAGGAATCGACTGTTTGGTACAATGAAAAGCCTGGGTGAACGACCAGGGGATTATGCTGAGTGAAAAGCCAATCCCAGAATGTGAAAGGTTTTATAAATTATTCCATTTATATAATACGGCTGAAATGACACATTTATAGAAGTGGAGAACTGATCAGTCATTACTAGGGGTTATGGAAAGGGTGAGGCCAGGAGGAAAGTCAGTGTGCCTAGAAGGGGGCAACATGAGGGATGCTGTGGTGATGGAAATGTTTATCTTTTGACCGTACCAATGTCAGCATCCTGTTTGTGATATTGTACTGTAGTTTTGCAAAATATTAGCACTGCAGACACTTGGGCAAAGGGTACACAAAACCTGTCTGCATTATGTCTTGCAACTGCAAGTGTGTCTACAATTATCTCAAATAGCTTAATTTTTTTTTTAAGATTTATTTATTTATCTTAGAGAGCGTGGTGGGGGTGGGCAGAGGCAGAGAGAGAATCCCAAGCGGACTCGCCACTGAGTCTAGAGCCTGATGTGGGGTTTGATCCTAGGACCCTGAGATCACGACCTGAGCCGAAACCAAGAGTCGGATGCTTAACCAACTGAACCACCCAGGCGCCCCTCAAATAGCTTAAATAGAAAGCAATGGAAATACTTCCCAATAAATTTTATAAGGCCAGAATTGACTTGATACCAAAACCAAAGATATTATGAGAAAAGAAAATAAGGGACAAATATTCCTCATAAACCCAAATACAGAAATCCTTGGCAAGATGTTGGTAAATGAAATCATACAAGACAAGAAAAGGATAATACGTCATGGTTACATGGGGTTCATCCCAGAACTACAAGGTTGGCTTTAACATTCAAAAATCAATCTATGGAGTTCACTGTATGAATGTACTACATAAGAAAACCATATGATCATCTTTAAAGATGAAAAAAAAAGGGTTTTATAAAAATTTAACACCAAATCTTGATTTTAAATATCAGAAAAATAAGAAAAAGGACTTTACTCAACTAAATAAAGGACATCTAAGAAAAACTGACCACATTTAATGATGAAAGACAATTTTTTCCCTCTGAGTTTGGAAACAAGCAAGGATGTCCACCCTTATGACTCTCATTCATCATAGTAAAGGTGGTCCTAGATAGTGTAATAAGGCAAGAAAAAGTTACACAGACAGGGTCTCATAAAAGAGAGGGTTTGAACTCCTTTTTTTCCCTTTGCACTAAATTTAATTTTGATACTTAATGTTATTTTATTAATCAACAGTTTTTAGGGAAACTTTATTAATACCTAAGTTATAAACTGCACATAATAATGAATTAGTGGGGTGGCGCAGTTGGTTAAATGTCTGACCCTTGGTTCCAGCTCAGGTCATGATCTCAGGGTCGTGGGATCGAGGCCAGCCTCAGGCTCCACACACAGTGGGGAGTCTGCTTGAGATTCTCTCTCCCTCTCCCCACCAAACCCCATTTACACACACACACTCTAAAAAATAGTAAATAAAAATCAATAATGAATTACCACACTCACTGCAGGCATGACAAAGACTCTGTCTCATAAGCTTGAGTATTTTTTTAAAGCATCTTTTCAGAAGGGTCCTCTGAAGTAGAGAGTCCAGTGAAGAGAACAATTTTTTGTTTCAATCCGATAATACTGTCCATGTCAGAAGACCCTTGGGGAAACCTACCCACACAGGACACCCTGAGGTGGCCTCGGAACCCTTCCCCATGCTCTGGTCAGCCACCTCCATGCAGCTGAGCACACACAAGGAAGGAAATGTTTTCTGTCGCTGTAATAGAGTCCATTTACTTGAGGGGAAAACATCTGTAACTCAGGCTGTAATTCAGGCTGGCTGACCTGGCACTGGTCTGACTGGGATGTTTGCCTTTTCTTTAAAATATTAAGGTATTTATATCTGAAAATAGCCCAGCCACTCGACTCCATGTATAGAAAGTATATATGAAATAGCTACAGTCTCTCTGTGAAGTTCACAAAGAAGTTATTCATCTATTTCCTATAAATCAGGGGTTAGAGGGTTAGTCTCTAGCTGTCACTTGGGACCCGAAATACGTTCCTCTTTAAGAAAGGTGTGTTTATGGGGTGCCTGGGTGGCTCAGTCGGTTAAGCGACTGCCTTCGGCTCAGGTCATGATCCTGGAGTCCTGGGATCGAGTCCCGCATCGGGCTCCCTGCTCAGCGAGAAGCCTGCTTCTCCCTCTAACCCTCCCCCCTCTCATGTGCTCTCTCTCTCTCTCTCATTTTCACTCTCAAAATAAATAAATAAATCTTTAAAAAAAAAAAAAAGGTGTGTTTAACTTTTTTTTTTTTTTAACTTAGAGTATGCGACAGTTAGGAGAAAGAGTTGAGCCTAGAATTACATGGTCCAGGTCTCCTATCCCACAAGCAAGGTGATTCCAGGCCACACAGAGGCCTCTCCGACATTTTAGCAGTCTGCACTTGGGGCAAGCCAAGCGGCCTCAGTCCACACAGCCTGGGTGGCTTATCAACAATAGAAATGTACTTCTCACAGTCCCAGAGGCACAGGCAGATCTGGTGTCTGGGGAGGGCCCACTTCCTGATTCACAGCCAGTCATCGTTCTACCCTGTCCTCACAAGACAGAAGGGGCGAGGGGGTGGGCTGTCTGGGGGCTCTTGTATAACAAGAGCACTAATCCCATTCATGAGGTCCCCACCTCGTGACCCAATCACCTCCTAATACCATCACACTGGGGGTTAGGATTTCAACATAGAAATTCGGGTGGGTGGGGGAGGGACACAAACATTCGGTCCATAACACAAGCCTTGTCGCATACTCTAACCCCGGTGCAGAAATTGCTGTGCTAGAGATGGGGTCTTCAAGAAATTGCTGGAGATCCTTGTCATAACCAAAGTTACAGAATCAAATTTAACAATGGTTTTCAATGGAACCTTTCTTTACAAATTTCACGTAGTGGTTGGAAGAGGGTTCCTTCAAGTGGACTATGTATCTAATACCTTGATTCCGGAGGAAATCCTTGACTTGGGGCCACACAGATCTTCCAGGCTTGGGCCTCTTGTGCTTCTGAGCTGCGCACAGAAGCCTGCAGGGCTGTTGCAGAAGTGGGAGGAGAACCCAAGCTTCAGGGTGGGTGGAAGGAGCAGGGAACCCACAGGGGGTCTGAGGTCCGCAGTGGACATTAACTACTGTCAGTAGATGGGTGTAGACTCTGATATCGTGGAGCAGGGAGGGTTTTAAAGTCTACAAATCAAGGATTAGACAGGGACAGTCTGTATGTCACCATCTCCTGTCTGTCTAGCTGTGTGCCACTAGCCAGAGGTCCCTAAGGCAGGCTGTTTCCAGGGACTTGCTGCCCCTCACTCTTCGCCCTCCTGCTCTTTGTCTACAGGGGGAGCTGACCATGACCAGCGACATGGAGATGTTACAGAACGCTCTGTACCTGGACACAGTGCCAGAGCCCTGGGCCAGGCGAGCCTACCCTTCCATGGCAGGCCTGGGAGCCTGGTTTTGGGACCTTCTAAACCGAATCAAAGAGTTGGAGGCCTGGCTAGGAGACTTGGCAATGCCCTCCACAGTGTGGCTGACAGGCTTCTTCAACCCCCAGTCCTTCCTGACTGCCATCATGCAGTCCACAGCCCGCAAGAATGAGTGGCCACTGGACCAGATGGCCCTGCAGTGTGACGTGACAAAGAAGAACAGGGAAGACTTCAGGAGCCCCCCTCGGGAAGGGGCTTACATCCATGGCCTCTTCATGGAAGGCGCTCGCTGGGATGCACAGGTAAGTCTTGGGGGGAGCCTCGGGGCATCCTCTGTGGGCTGATTAACTTAAAAATACTGCCTCCATAGAGTGTGATCCTGAAAAGGGATGCCCTGGAATCTTCTGACCGAGGTACCCTTCCCTTGAGGCTGTCAAGCCACTTTCGTGCAGCCAGGGATGGTGCAAAGAGCACAGACCTTCAGCATGGGTAGAGTGCAGTGATTAAAAGCAAGGGCTCTGGACCCCGACTGGCTGGATCTGAATCACAGCACCACCATCTATTGCCACTGTGACCCTGGGATGTGGTTCTGGCTCTCCAAATCTGTTTCCTCACGTGTTAAATGGGAAAAGAGAGTTGCTGCCAAGATTAAATTAGTTTCTATGGAGGACCCTTGGAGTAGGGCCTGCCTGGCACATAGAGAGTGCTCCAAAAGCGCTGGGAGTCGGCTATCCATGCTACTGGCTGACCCCCGCCCCCCCGCGACCACAGTCACTTTCCTCATTCATGAGCCCTAGGAGGGCAGGCGTCCCTTCTGCCTTTTACTTTGCCCCCATCTGCAAAGGGAGCCCAGTGGATACTATTTCACAGGACATTCTGAAAGGATTTCTCACTGAAGCCTAATAAAAATTTGAGTCACTGTGAGACTGGCTCGGATAAATGACACGAGCAAGGATGGGTAACTCAAGAACAAGTTTACGTTTGTTATACACACGACCCGGAAGAAGTGCTTAGTCAAATACCCTGCTTGGTAAGTGACACTTAACTGTTCCCAGCAATCGGTACAAAGTTAATGGGGAAAAACTGTTAGAAGATCTACAGTATCGTAGAAGGTCCTATAAATATATATACAGAGCTGTCCTGGATTAAACAGTGTCTACCAAAATTCTACCAGAACCTCAGAATGTGCCCCTGTCTAGAAATAGGGTCTTTGCAGAGATAAGGAGTTAAGATGAGGCTATACTAGAGCAGAGCAGGCCCTAAATCTAAGGACTGGTATCCTTATAAGGCCATGTTGGAAGCACAGAAACAGATGTCCTGTGAGGACAGAGGCAGAGACTGGAGTGATACATCTACGAGCCAAGGAACGCCAAGGACTGCCAGCACCCCCAGAAGCTAGGAGAGAGGCATGGGCTAGTTTCTGCCTCTGAGCCTCCAGAAGGAACAGACCCTGCCTACACCTTGATTTAAGACTCTGGCCTTCAGCACTGTGAAAGAAGACATTTCTGTTTTAAGCTATCAAATTTGTAGTAACTTGTTACAGCAGCCCAATGAAACCAATCGAAGGCCTGTTAACAGAGAGGACAATGAAGCAGGACAGTGTTTATACAGCCTGAACCTTGAGAAGGAAGCTGACATCCCCCCTCCACCTGAACATTTGTCCAAGATTCCGTCAGTGGGGATCACACATGGATTGTAGGTATAGGGTGGCCTAGGGTGGCCAGAACTAGAATACCAAAAAACACCAAACTGAACAATTAGGGAAGAAGTTCAGACGAGCACTGGCACTGTGGGGGATGGAGAAAGAACACGGATTCCAATCATCTACCTCCAATATTTTATTACCTTGTTTCTTCATAATAATAACTTCCCAAAAAGCAATACCCACCCACCAAGAACTCTGGTTCTGTTTCTGCCTCCAGAAAGATTTTAGCAAAATTAAGAGTAAGAACATCCAAAAATCCTCTCCCCCATAAAATCATAACACTGCCCCAAAATTGTCAGAACCAACTTTTTCACAGAACTCTAGAAATCGGGGCGCCTGGGTGGCTCAGTCAGTTAAGCATCTGCCTTTGGCTCAGGTCATGATCCCAGGGTCCCGGGATCGAGCCCCGCATCAGGCTCCCTGCTCAACGCTGAGCAGGGAGCCTGCTTCTCCCTCTCCCTCTGCTGCTCCCCCTGCTTGTGCTCTCTCACTCTCTCTCTCTCTCTCTCAAATAAATAGGTAAATAAAATCTTTTTAAAAAGAAGAAAAAAAGAACTCTAGAAATCAACCAAAGGCTTTTAGGAATCCAAACAGTGTTTTGTTTTGGTTTTTTAAGATTTATTTATTTATTTGAGACAGAGAGAGAGAGAGAGCGCGCACACAAGCAGGGAGGAGGGTCAGAGGCAGAGGGAGAAGCAGGCTCTCCGATGAGCAGGGAGCCTGACGCAGGGCTCAATCCCAGGACCCTGGGATCATGACCTAAGCCGAAGGCAGACACTTAACTGACTGAGCTGCCCAGGCGCCCCCAAAGAGTGCTTATTAAAGAAAAATGTCCAACCCTCAGCAAAAAAAGCAAGCTTTGCAGCCTTTTAACTTGCTCTGCTCCCACCCATCCCCACCAACTCTGTGGTGGCCTTGAAACAGCAGCCTCCCAGCCACTGGAGGAGGCAAAATGGAGTTGGAGTACTTTCAAAGCCCCATTCCTAGAAAACTGTCATAATTTCCCCTACTTGTTGGTTTCCCAGAAGACCCCATTTAAGTCTGTCTCTACTTGACCTGAGTGGGAGCTCACCCAAGGCAACAGCCTGTCTCCCCAAGGGCATGTACTGAAACAGTGTCTACCAAAACTGGTGACTGAAAACAGTCAAAGACAACTGTTTAACCTTGCAGCTTGCCTGAGGTGGTAGGTAACAGTGCAAATAATAGGCTAACCAAAAACTCACAAGGACAAGCTGCAGAATGGGATGACCTCCAACATGTCACTGGAAACCCAGAAGGCCATGCCCATGTGCAGCACTGTGCACATGCTCAAGAAACACGTGAGAAGGCTGGAAGCTCACCTGTGGCTGACCTCGAGGCTCTGTGAAAGCAGGAAGTGAAGGCTAAGGCACAGTGTTAAACTGCCCTGCTGAGCACTGAAGGCATGCCCAACTCATACACACAGCCCCTGAGCAAAATCTGTAAGACTCACCAAAATCTCTGTCCTGTTACTTGCTAACCACTAAGCTAACTGAGCAGGCCACTTCAGTAGTCATAGTGCTATGTGACAAAGACTTACAGAATAAGTTCAGAAAAGTCGCTAAACAAACAACAAATCCTGTGGAGGGAGATCTGATCACCAGAGTTGCCACATTATATTATTTAAAATGTTCAAGTTTTCAACAAAAAATTATGAGACATGCAAAGAAACAAAAAGGGGAAAAAGCAGTCAACAGAAATGGTCCCTAAGGGAGTTCAGAAGCGGGACATACCAGACAAAGCCTTTTAATCAGCCATTTTAAGTATGTTCAGAGAACCAAAGGAAAGTATGTTAACAATGTCTCACTGAACAGAGAATACTAATAATGGGATAGAAATTACATTTTAAAAAACCAAGTAGTAACTCTAGAGCTGAAAACTGTAATACCTTAAATGAAAATTCAATAGAGGGATTCAAGAGAAGATTTGAGTAGGCGAGAATCACCAAACTTGGAATACATCAATTAAATTATCCAACCTGAGAAGCAGAAAGATAAAATGAAGACAAATGAACAGTTTAAAAACTTGAGGAATACCATCAAGCATACAAACATCCACACAGTGGGAGTCCCAAAAGAAGAGAGAGAAACAGAGCCAGAAAGAATACTTGAGGCAATAATGACCACTTTCCAGATTTGATAAAAACATCAATCTACACATGCAAGAATCTCAACAAAATCCAAATAGGATCAACTTAGAAATCCATACCTTGAGGCACCTGGGTGGTTCAGTCAGTTAAGCCTCCGACTCTTGGTATCAGCTCAGGACTTGATCTCAGGGTCATATGTTTAAGCCCTGCGTTGGGCTCCATGCTGGTTGTGGAGCCTATTTAGAATCAAGGACAGGAAAGGAGAAAGGAAAAGGAAAAGGAAAGGAAATCCATACCTTGACATGTTATAATATAAAGAGAGAATCTTGAAAGCAGCAAGAGAAAAGCAATTCATCACATACAAGGGCTCCTCAATGGGATGAACAGTTGATTTCTCATAAGAAACCAGGAAGGCCAGAAGACAGTAGAATGAAAGGCCAAACTGCTGAAAGAAAAAGACTGTCAGCCAACAATTCTATATCCAGTAAAACTATCTTTCAAAACTGAAGGAGAAATTAAGACATTCCCAGGTTAAAAAGAAAGAAAGAGGGGCACGTGGGTGGCTCAGGCTGTTGAGCATCCGACTCTTGATCTCAGCTCAGGTCTTGACCTCAGGGTCTTGAGTTCACAATGAGAGAGAGACAGAGAGAAGAGAATTTACCACTAGCAGGCCAGACCTATAAGAAATACTTAAGGGAGTCCTTCAGGATGAAATGAGTTACAAGACAGTAACTCAAGTCCACATAAAGAAATAGAATACCAGTAAAGGTATTTATGTATGTAAATATGAAAGAAAGTATAAATGAATTTTTTTGTAACTTTTATTTCTTTCCTGACTTTTTTATTATTATTATGTTATGTTAATCACCATACATTACATCATTAGTTTTTGATGTAGTGTTCCATGATTTCCTATCTGATTTAAAAGACAACTGCAAGAAGCAATAACTATAAATCTGTGCTGATAAGCATAAAAGATGTAATTTGTATAATGAAAACAACGCGAGGTCTTCAGCATAGGAAGGGTAAGGAATGGAACTTATCTAGGAATAAAGTTTTTATATACTACTGAAATTAAGTTGTTATTAGCCTGAAGTAGATTTTTATACATTGATGTTAATTATAATCCCGAGGGAAACCACTAAGAAAATAATTTTTTAAAACAATAAAAGATGTATCTTTAGGTTCAAAATGAGTCTCTTGTAGATAGCATATGGATGGGTCCTGTCTTTTTATCCAATCTGCCAAGGAAATGTTGAAAAAGAAAAAGCTGAGGGCATCACGTTGCCCGATTTCAAGCTATATTACAAAGCAGTGATCACCAAGACAGCATGGTACTGGCACAAAAAGAGACATATAGACCAAGGGAACAGAATAGAGAACCCAGATATGGACCCTCAACTCTATGGTCAAATAATCTTCGACAAAGCAGGAAAAAATATGCAATGGAAAAAAGTCTCTTCAATAAATGGTGCTGGGAAAATTGGACAGCCACATGCAGAAGAATGAAACTCGACCATTCTCTAACACCATACTCAAAGATAAACTCAAAATGGATGAAAGACCTCAATGTGAGGCAGGAATCCATCAAAATCCTAGAGGAGAACGTAGGCAGTAACCTCTCTGACATCGGCCACAGCAACTTCTTTCAAGATACATCTCCAAAGGCTAGTGAAACAAAAGCAAAAATGAACTTTTGGGACTTCATCAAGATAAAAAGTTTCTGCACAGCAAAGGAAACAGTCAACAAAACAAAGAGGCAACCCACAGAATGGGAGAAGATATTTGCAAATGACACTACAGATAAAGGGCTGGTATCCAAGATCTAGAAAGAACTTCTCAAACTCAATACCCAAATAAATAATCAAGTCAAAAAATGGGCAGAAGACATGAACAGACACTTCTCCAAGGAAGACATACCAATGGCTAACAGACACATGAAAAAATGTTCATCATCATCAGCCACAGGGACATTCAAATCAAAACCACATTGAGATACCACCTTACACCAGTTAGAATGGCAAAAATGGACAGGGAAAGAAACAACAAATGTTGGAGAGGTTGTGGAGAAAGGGGAACCCTCTTACACTGTTATTGGGGATACAAGTTGGTACAGCCACTTCGGAAAACAGTGTGGAGGTTCCTCAAGAATTTAAAAATAGAGCTACCCTATGACCTAGCAATTGCACTCCTGGGTATTTACCCCAAAGACACAGACGTAGTGAAAAGAAGAGGCATATGCACCCCCATGTTCACAGCAGCAGTGTCCGCAATAGCCAAACTGTGGAAGGAGCCGAGATGCCCTTCAACAGATGACTGGGGTAAAGAAGATGTGGTCCGTATATACAATGGAATATGACTCAGCCGTCAGAAAGGATGGATACCCAACTTGTACATCCACATGGATGGGACTGGAGGAGATGATGCTAAGTGAAATAAGTCAAGCAGAGAAAGTCAATTATCATATGGTTTCACTTATTTGTGGAACATAAGGAACAGCATGGAGGACATTCGGAGAAGGAAGGGAAAAATGAAGGGGGGGGTGGAAATCGAAGGGAGAGATGAACCATGAGAGACTATGGACTCTGAGAAACAAAGTGAGGGTTTTGGAGGGGAGGGGGGTGGGGGGATGGGTTAGCCTGGTGATGGGTATTAAAGAGGGCACGTACTGCATGGAGCACTGGGTGTTACACGAAAACAATGAATCATAGATCACCACATCAAAAACTAATGATGTATTGTATGGTGACTAACATAATAAAATTTAAAAACCTAATAAAAATAAATAAACAATAAAAGCATTAATAAGGGAATCAAAATGGTACACTAAAATATATCTACTGAACAGAAAAGAAGGAAGCAAAGGAGAAACCGAGGAACAAAAAAGAAGACACAGAAAGCAAATAATCAAGTGGCAGATATAAACCTTACCTTATCAGTAATTACATTAAATGTATACAGATTAAACACTACAGTTGAAAAGGAGAGAATGGCAGAATGGATTTTTCTGATTCAACTGTACGCTGTCCACAAGCGACACATGTTAGATTCAAAGACACAATAGGTTGAAGATCAAGAGATGGCAACGACTATGCCATTCGAATAGAGAGTCCAACCACCATAACTGGAGACACCAATACCCTACTACTAATGGTGATTGCTAATGGTTAGTTCCTTTTGGGAGTGATGAAGATATTCTGGAATTACAAAGTGATGACTGTAATTTAAAAACACTGACTTGCACATTTTAAAAGGGTTGGTTTTATGGTAGGTGGGGAAAAAAGAAAGGTTCTACCCCTGCTCCCACTCCCTGCCCTAAACACTCGGTTGTTGGGCTTAAGGGGGTCCCCACCATTTACCTTAGTTCTGTTATTCTGCGTGCCTCATACCAACTTCTAATACAACTGAAAAGGCACATTCTCCCCTTTAAATAAATTTCATGGAAAATGAACCAAGCTCTATCCGTAGAAGGAGCCCAATCACCAGGACAAAAGCAAGGAATCTGTGAATCAGTCTATGTCAACACTTCCCAAAGTATGCTCCATAAAACACTAGCCCCATGGGAAACAAATAGGTTGCAAAGAAAAAAGTCCTGTGGTCAAATAAGTTTGGGGAACCCCAGGTTAAATGAAGTTCATCTCTTTTCTTTACTGCTAGGATTTCTTGTCCTCAGTGTGCTAGCATGCACTATAAAGCTTCAAGCCCAGGTTAGTGGTAAGCACCATTTCCCAAGCTTGTTTCATGAAGGAACCCTTTTGTTCCTCAGAACATTTCTCAGGACTAGTAATAAATAAATAAATTCAGTAATTAAAAAAAAAAAAAACATCCTAGATCAGTCTAGTGGGACATCTCAGAAAACCAAAGAGGCTGGAAAGCTACAGAATAGTTAGCTCCCTATCACATGACTACAGAGAGAACATAGCTCTGCTCAAAAAGTCCAAATGCTCTTGAGGGTGGATGAGGTCCCATATGAAACTGAACAGGACATCACCAAACTCTTAAAATCTACAGCATTTGCTGGCAGGAACTGTGTCTTACCCGTCCTTAAATCCCTAGCACCTAGCAGGACCACCCAGCAAACAGTTGCCTCTGACATGCTTATGAAATGAATGCGTGAAAAAATACAAAGAGACTCAAGTTTCAAAGGGATTAATTTGTATATGGCACGTAACAACTTCTAGAACTCTCCTTCAAAAAGTGATTTAGGCTGGAAAACAGTAGAAATAATGTTTTCCGCATCTCAGATGCATTCCAACGTGGGTTGCTGAGTGAACGTGAAAGGCAGGCCTTCCCAGGCTCTCAGCTACTGGGTCTGTGGACAGAAGGCTGGCTGGCCAGGCTCTGGATCTCATCTAAGCTGGCTCTTTTCCTGTTCTTGTCCTCAGGCTGGGATCATCACAGAGGCAACGCTGAAGGATCTGACACCCCCCATGCCTGTGATGTTCATCAGGGCCATTCCTGCAGATAAGCAGGACTGCCACAGCATCTATCCTTGTCCCGTGTACAGGACTCGTCAGCGGGGACCCACCTACGTGTGGGCTTTCAACCTGAAGACTAAGGAGAAGCCATCTAAGTGGGTTCTAGCTGGAGTCGCTTTGCTTCTCCAGACTTAGCTGCCTGCACAACCACTAAGAAAACAAGGCGGGGCTGGAGGCTGCCCAGACAAGTGGGTGAGGGGAGACGGAGACGTAGAGATAAGGAATCACACGTACTCACAATTCTGTAGAATTCTTGTAGGGAACCTGGAGAGAAGGCCGAGCCGGAGGAGTCCAGACCCAGGAACTAGGGGAGAAGCATTTCAAAACACTGCACCTTTCCTAATAAAGTGATTGATTCTTTAAGTGTGTCTGGCCCCAGCTTTGAGAGCGGCAGAGTCATACATGATCCTGAAGTGACCAAGAGAAACGAACCACAGAGCCTTGAGCCCTGATGTTGGTGTGCGGCACCGAAATCAGTGCTCTAGCTCCCGGCTACTCTGTGGACTAGACACTTCAGCTTCACCCCCGAGGCTGCATTTTGACAAGCTCCCCAAGTGATACGTACAAACATCACAGTTTGAGAAACAGTACTCTAGATTAGGGATCACCCAACTTTTTCTGTCAAGGGCCAGACAGTAAACAGTTTAGGCTTTGCAGGGCATTTGTCTCTGTTGCAGTGACCCAAAGTGGCCAGAGCACATACGTAACTGGGTGTGGCTGGGCTCCAATAAAACTGTATTTGCAAAAACAGATGGTGGGCCATATTTTGCTGATCACTGCTCTAGAGGATAAGGGAAGTATACATATGATATTTATCCTTCATTAATTCACACATGCCTTCAATTTGTCCAACACCTTCGGTTCGCTGAGAACACAACTGTGAATGAGGTAGGTTGTTTCCTTGTATGTCTCTCATCCTTCAGATCATTTCAGAGGGACCTATGGAGAAACTCTTCACCTAAAGCTTTTGAACCTAACAGTTTTCTAGGTTTTTCTCTGCGGAACAGATTTTCACTGGAAGCCCAAAGAGTTCCAGAATTCTAAAGAGCTCTTATAGGGAGGTCTGTATGCTAAGAAGAGTCCAGGAGGGCCCAGTATTCCTTCTAGAATCCTTAATCCTACATATCCTTAATGAATTATGATTTAGAACAGTGGCCCTAAAACTTGAGCAGGCATCAGAGTCCCCCTGGGGGGTTGGCTAAAACAAAGACTGCTGGGCCCCACCCTTCAGAATTTATGATTCAGTAAATCTAACAGACTTCCAATGTTGCCAGTCCAGGGAACACACCTGCAGAACTGCTGATCTAAAACATAAAATCCCGGGACGCCTGGGTGGCTCAGTCAGTTAAGTGTCTGCCATCGGCTCAGGTTGTGATCCCAGGGTCCTGGGATGGAGTCCCAAGTCCGGCTCCCTGCTCAGCAGGGAGTCTGCTTCTCCCTCTCCCTCTGCCACCACCCCCTGCTTGTGCTCTGTCAAATAAATAAGTAAATAAATAAAATCCCAACACCCTACAAATCTCTGCTGTACCGAATACAAAATCAAATGCTACTTCCTCCATGATTTTCCTGCTTTCTGCCCTGTGGTTCCTGCATCCCCTAAGGAGGGGCCTTACTCCTCACCTCCATGCCGTAAGGGAGTTAATAAATTCCTCTGGAATCCAGGAATTCCAACTTGAGTTTTGTCTCTCTTCATCAACCTGTAACATACTTGCCATGGTTTGCCAACAACCTAGTTTTGTGCCTACAGATTAACCTGTTTGCAGAGGGACAGCTCTGCCCTCCTCAGGAGCCTCATCCTTCCTGGTCCTCAGCAACAATAAAACAAGAGCAGGCAAGAGGAGGACCAACACGGAAGGAAGACGGAAGTCTCACTCTCTGAGAGCAGGACACTTTGGGGCATGTGATTTGGAAGAAAGGACAAGTGTGCTGGTTAGATATTTGTGTCACACCTCCAGACAGAACTCAAAGTAGATCAATACTACTGACTTCTTCCTAATACCTACTGACCAAATGAGATAATGAAGATCATTTTAGGGGCGCCTGGGTGGCTCAGTCGGTTAAGCGTCCGACTCTTGATCTCAGCCTAGGTCTCGATCTCAGGGCCGTGAGTTCAAGCCCCACGCTGTGCTCCACGCTGGGCATGGAGCCTACTTAAAGAAAAAAGAAAAAAATCATTTTTAAGCACAAAACATTTTGGAAAACTGACAGCCAGGAGAAAGAGGGGCAGGTTGCGGCAGCTGAGCAAGTGGGAGGTGAGCTCAGAAGGACACCAGGGATGACACACTTACCTGAGAGAAAGAATGCCCAGCACTAACCGAGTTCTCACACCTGGACACCAGGTTAGTGATTTCCTATTACTCTTCAGCTGACTGATAAACTTGGTAAGTTTGTACGGGATGATCAGGAGCTCAACCACCATTTAGGGTCTTCTATGAGAAAATGCACTTTGAGTTACAGTTAAAACACAGTCGACACTAGAGACACAAGGCAGAGAGTGACGTTAAGAAGTTTATTTAAAACGAGGGACACCTGAAGTTAATTTTTTGTACCTGTGTGACAAAGAACACACGGGAGCTCCCTGGCCCTCTCCGCTGCCCCTTCTGTAACAGGAGATCTGCTCTAGGACCCCCAACCTAAAGAGCTGACCTGAGGTTCTTCCCACGAGCAGCAACTGCGGCTCATCCAGTTAAACTCTCCCCAGACGGCACTTATAAAACAGGATCTCCAAAACAAGAAATGAGCTGAAAGATGAAGACTATTCCTTCTCCTGACACAGAAGCAAGAAAATAAACCAAGGCAAAATCCAACCCAGAGGCCACCATGTCCTCCCAGTCCAAAGCCGTGTTCAGGTAACTCTCCTCTCTCATCCATGATGATAAAAAAAGAGAGAACAGGGCTGGTCTTTAAGAGCTGCAGTTTCTCCAGATGGAAGGAAGTATTTTTAAAAGGACCAGAGCCAGAACTGGGCTAAGGGAGCCTGACTACTGAAAGGGCTTCTTTCCTAAATGGGATCTTTGATGTTTATCAAGGCTCGAGCTCCAGCTGAAACTCTTCCCGCAGCGGGAACACTTGTAAGGTTTCTCTCCTGTGTGAACTCTCTGATGTCGATTAAAGTTGGATCTCTGAATAAAACTTTTCTCACAGATGGGACATTTATAGGGTTTCTCTCCCGTGTGGATCTTCTCATGGTGACGCAATCCTGAGAAGTCGCTAAAGCCTTTCCCACAGTAATCACATTTACAAGGCTTCTCTCCCGTGTGGATCCTCTGATGCTTCACAAAGTCTGAACTCCGTAGAAAGGCTTTTTTGCAGGTGGGGCACTGAAAGTACGTCTCTCCGGTGTGAGTTCTTTGGTGGAAAACCAGCTGAGAATTCCTATAAAAGGTTTTCCCACACTCCCTGCAGGTGGGGAGCTTCTGGGCCATGGGGGCTCTCGGCTGCCCTTTTGGAGAGGCCTCTCTCTTCTCCTCCAGCCACAGCAGGGACAGTTCTTCCGGATGGGGATTAGCCAAGTGCTGTTTCCCAGAATTCCTTCCGTGGGGCGAAAGCTGGCTCGCTGGCCCCTCACCCTGAAGGTTTTCCAGAGCCTCGGGGAGACTGTCCCCTTCTCCAAAGCATCTTGGTTCATCCTCACTGACGAAGCCACCCAAGGAAGCCTGAGAAGGAGCCTCACCTGATGCTTGACAGGAGACATCAGAAGCTTCCTGGCCTCTACAATTTTCCAAATTCACGTTCTCTTTGTCATTCTCCTGCCTGTCTCCTGGAAGAAGAAAAAGATTTGAAATCAATCAATGGGATGCCCTGTTTTCTAACTGGTATGAAGAAAAAAGGGTCATCATGAAACATTAATTCTTCTTGTCAAGAGAGCATCAGTGAGTGAGGAAAGATAATATCATCCAGCCTAAGCGCCTGGCACTCACGGCCGGGGTCCAGGCTAAGTGATCCAGCTCTGGGGCCGAGGAGAACGTCTGACAGCAGAGGGAGCGCGCAGAGGGCCCTGCCGACTGCCCCTGCCCCCGTAAATGAGCCGCGTTCATTTCTTTTTTTTAAGACTTTATTTTTAAGTCATCTCCACACCCGACATGGGACTTGAACCTAAAACTCCGAGATCAAGAGTCGCACACTCCACCGACCGAGCCAGCCAGGCTACCACGAGCAGCATGCATTTCTTTTTTTTTTTTTTAAGATTCTATTTATTTATTTGAGAGAGAGAATGAGATAGAGAGAGAGCATGAGAGGGGAGAGGGTCAGAGGGAGAAGCAGACTCCCCGCTGAGCAGGGAGCCCGATGCGGGGCTCGATCCCGGGACCCCAGGATCATGACCTGAGCCGAAGGCAGTCGCTTAACCAACTGAGCCACTCAGGCGCCCAAGCAGCATGCATTTCTTAAGGCCCGGGAAAAACAAGGGTATTATATAAGGGTGTTACTTTGAAAAAGGATTCGTTTTTATCTGGTTCTACATAAAACATAAGTCTGATCATTAAAAACAATTTGGAGAGAAAAACAGAAGAAAACCAAACCAACCTCAGTCATACTACCCAGAGGTAGCAACCATGATTATACATTTCCTTCCGGTGTTTAACCTAGACATATGCATAGTTTACATATATAGTTATGTATGTATGTGCATGCTTTTCTTTCTTTTTTTACATAATTGATATCATATTGCATACACAGTTCCATACCTGGCTTTGTGGCACTTAAATTGTAAATGGTGGTATTTACCAATTTCACATGGATGCTCCCATTCACGAGTCACCTAAAACTTCATGAAATGCATTAATGTGTCACTTTACTGCGTGGCTTTAATGCACAGTGAAGCTGTGGCACAGAAGTGGATCCCTCAGTCTGTGCCTGAATGCAGCATTCCCTGTGTTTTACTAACTCGGATTAACAGTTAAAATTTTGTTTTTCTCCAGGCGCCTGGGTGGCTCAGTTGGTAAGCGTTTCAGGGTTCTGGGTTTGAACTCCACAAGGGGCTCTCTGCTCAGCGGGGAGTCTGCTTCTCCCTCTCCCTCTGTGCTCTCGCTCTCTCTCTCAAAGAAATAAAAATCTTTAAAAAGATTTTGTTTTTCTCCTAAGTTTTTGGTTATTACCACTAAATGATACATAGAGTAAAAGCTTTTATTTTGGTGGCAGAATTTGTGTCCAACTTTTATAAATTCGGGTTAGGGTTAGATCCTTTCTCTTTCCTGTATTAGTGTCTTCAAATTATCTGTTAGAGACCCAGGAATCTGCTAACAACTTAGACCTGACTCGTTAATCCACAGAGTCTTAGAACATATTCCTCTCAAATGACAAA